CGTTGCCCCGAGAGATCGGCGGAGTACCAACACCAGGGGGAGTTGCAGGCTGCCCACCACTACCCCCGCTATGCTCGGTAGCCACGCGGCAGATGGCAAAGGGTCCTCCGGCACGAGGACTTCAAGTACGACAGCAAGTCCAACGATGAACAACCCCACAAATGCATGAGCCATCCACGGCAGCGCCACAAATCTCTTGACCTTGGCCTTCTCGTCCTGCCACCGACCAATCTGCACCGAAGAAATGATAACCCATGAAAACTATTTGAACTATACCATTGGTTTAGCCAGTGCAGAGGCGAGCAGGGAGCCAGCCAAGACCCCCCCAAACACCGGCAAAGCAGTGGGGATCCCGGCGCCCAGCTGCACATACACGGAGCCCGGACACGAGCCCGAGATGTCCATCCCGATGCCGAGAAGGAGGCCCCCCATAGCCAGCACCACCGCGTGACTCGGGTCAGCCGCCCGCTTCCGCTGGATGGCTTCGAAGTCATTTGGTCGTAGGGCGTGGAAGATGGCTTTGGACACGACGGACGTGCCCAGCGCCGCGAGGAACATCTTCATCATGGTGAACTGAGACAGTGACATTTGGTTTTGGATGACCATGGGCAAGTGTACTTGACCCTAATAAGACGAAAGTGATAAGAGGGCGAGATGAGGATGTATATGAAGTACTTTATTCATGGCAAAACCGAACGCTGCCCCCGAGGTTGCCATCACGCCTAAAGACAATGGCGATTTCCATGGAGGCGACAGGGGCGTAGGAGGGTCATGAGTGTCGTCCACGAGCAGTGGGCTTTGGGTTGCCATGTTTGGTAAAGATTGACGAATGATACAATTGATTGATATGCAAGTGGGAAGACACACAAGTATTCTGCGAAGTATAGTGGAGAGACGCATTTTAGTAATCTTATGGTGCAAAACAAACGCAAAAGTAGTACGGGATGGGCGGCGACATAAACAGCAGCTGTGGACCATCTCACGGCAAATTCTGTTATATTGACGGTGACATTTCACTTTGGTGAGATTAGGTGTTGAGAACAAGGCGTCCTATCATCGACAAGACTATTAACCACGTCGAGCTTGCAGTTTGGGGCGATTTAAGAATAAAGAGGCCTCTGGTTCAAATACTGAATGATGAAGGCCTCTAGTTCAATGAGACAGTTGCAGTAGCTAGTTAGCTATATAGCTGTAATTTCAATTAACGTAAAAAAACAGTAGATTGCCCAATATCAGAGAATGGCCCGAAACACTTTTCATGACGAAATTTATTTAATTACATATAAACTCTAGTGAATACCTTTTCATATTGACGATAGTATTGCGTGTCCCACTGTTTTGATTAATAGTGTATTCAAGGCTAAATTAGGGCCATCTACTGATCTTCTCAAAATTTACAATTTTGACTTTGACCAGCAATAACTTGGTAATGCATACATCGAATCCTTGAAAGCTTACTTGTATGATGTAGTGGGTTCAATCCTCTATAGCAGTATAGTTGAAAGTTCGTCCAAATCGCCTTATAGCGTAAAAAAGCTAAGGGTCCATTTTTGGGTCATCTACTGGTTTTTTACGTCAGGGGCAGTACTGTACTGTATGCCTCACCAATCCTCTGCAACTGAAAGGTCTTGTTTTGACACGTCTGTGCATACGGACCTGCTATTGGCCAGACGCCAAGTAATTGAGTATTACGCCATCCTTGCACGGCCTGGATATCCAGCACTTATGCATAGCCTCCCAATCTTGTGGTAAATATACAGTACCGGTAGTAGTACTATATCACGTCAAACTCTACTACTCTGTGCTTTATTATTCTTCTAAGTAGTGGTTCCACAACATAAAACGTGCCTCCATACCACGTTTAAATATTAATCTACCATCGACAGGAATACTACGTAGTACTAGAGTACTCGGAGTACTACAGTAACGTTAGTTGGTACATTAATACTAGTACTACGTAGTAACATTAATACTAGTACTACTACAGTACAGTACATTATTACCTATGTTCGCTACAATGGCGAATCTTGAAGTTCCACAGCGATTGCTACAAGTGTACCACTGTGTATCCATTGCGTCGATTAAATGTATTGTATACAAATCAATGGATATTATTTTAAATAGTACTGTATTGAGCCGCAGGATTTGCACAATGTCAATTGCATCATCGTCGACAACTTCTTGCACATCAAGACCCTTCAGCTGCGTATGAAACTCTATGAACCTTGATACGTGACGACACGTCGGAACTTGCACAGAGCTTGTCGTTTAGATTGACGGCGGTACGTTTCCATACCATAACGACTCGGACAAATATTTGCTGGATATGTGCTTCGGACACGCACTTAACCGAATTTACGCATTAAATGCGAAAAGTTGTACCACAGGCCTTGTCGGGGTAGCGGCACGGCCTGCGGCCTACCTGCCGCTTTTCCCGACAAGAGGAATCGATTGGACATTCGGTGAAGTGCACGATTGGGGCTCACTCCTCGCCAAGGCACCGCCTGCACAAAATTATACACACGACCTCCGCTACGCTGCGGTGCGCGCAATTTTGAGGGCGGATCGTTCTTATGCGGGTTTCTACAATGCACAAGTATGTCCAAACATATTCGTTCGGACACTTTCATTCGGACAAAATATGTTCCCCTTAAGTCCAATACAAATGCCAAGTATGTCCGACTGAAATTGTCCGAACGTGATCATATTCACCCATATACTGTAAGGCGCACAGTTCTTCTTGCCACACCGACGTTGGCAGCCACGGCAGCAAATGCACCATGCGGGAGGGTTGTTTGGTCATTGAACAGTGTGAGAATGTACTGCTGCAAGACAGCAGTCCGGTCCGAGTAGAACAAATTCTTGGTGACATTCT